CCATCCCTTGAAACCATCTTTTCCTTTCATTATGTCCATATGTTTGTATTTTTGATGTTTAGTTTTTGGAATTCTGTTATACTGAATTTGAAGATATTAATCAGAGCTAGCTAGATTTTCTAGGACTGGGAATTCCTGAATAAAATTACATTTATTTGCTTATTTATGTTTACATGTACACATATGCACATGACACAATGTACTGTGTTGGGCAGAGTCGGCTCTTTCCTTACATCATGTGTTTTCTAGTGATGGAACTCAGCACTGACAACACACAGCTTTACTTGTTGTAACAACCTGCCAGCTCCTAGACCTGGAATTTCATCACTACTTTTGTTTAGATCTCTGAAATCTGTGTGGGCAAATAAAATCTCAGTTAAAGTGGCATTTTAAGCTGTGACATATTTAATTTTGAGAACTTTCTTGTTTTGAGGACCTCAGTGATGATTTTTCAATTAAGCTTAAAGGTTTAACAATGGTTTACATTTCCTCCCATCCATTTAACAAACACCAAATAGTACTTCAAGCAAAAAGGCAATCTTCTGTATGACTAATGGACTCGTATCCATTCATTGACCTCTTCCTGTGAAAATGCCCTCCACTGTCTGTCTTTGAATGTGTAGAGCTGGGAATAAATGATTCAGTCCATGGTTGCTTAGATAAGTGCAAGGACAGAGGTAAACACAACAGAGATGCAGATCTGAAACCCTATCTATATGGGATCTCAGGCATTCTCAGACAGAAGCAGTTGTGTAGAAATAGCTTTGGAAAATGAATTTGTATAAATTCAGCATGCTCCTACCAATGACAGAAAATGTAATTCACTTTTTGACTCAGAGCTGTTTTTCTCCTTTATTGTTGTTATAGGATTTAACAGAGGAAAAGAAGGCAAGATTACATATTAAATGCCTCTGAAAAATTAGATTTTTTTACCTTAATATCCCTATGCCTTTGATATCTGTCTGTTACACTCTCTTTATTATAGAGAGCAGGGGTTTTCCATGTTGCTAGAAAGAGCTAAACATATTAAAACTCAAAAGAAAGTTCAGAAAGGAAAACAAAATGCATTGCATTAAAAGTGAAGTTTTCTTCGGGCTGGAGCCTCACAGATGGACATAGCTCAGTGTTGTTGGATGGACACTGGTGATAACTAAGGCTGACCTCACGGAAGCTCCTAGACGGTCACAGAACTTCAGTAGCTGGAGCTTGTTCTCAAGTCATGGGGTCTTTAAGGAATTTCCTTCTTGGAGTCACATAGACACTAGAGTTGTTCCAGATTTGCAGAATGAGGTACACATACTTCCTGTCAAGGTTGTAGGCACTTTTAGCTAGTACATCTAGCTCACCTGTTTTCTTTTTTCTTTTTGTTCAAGTCCGGCTCATGCAGGAAATATTGAGGCTAATAGATGGAATAAAGATAAAAAGACAAACAGGGTATGTACACTCATATTTGGATTTTAGACATAGAGCAAAGGGTTACTAGTCCACAATCCACACCACCAGAGAAGCTGGGAAACAAGGAGGACTCTAAGAGAGACATACATGGTCCCCCAGAGAAGGGGAAAGGGACAAGATCTCCTGAGCAAATTGGGAGCACGAGGGGAGGAAAGAGTGAGCTAGGAGAATGAGAAAGGGAGAAAGGGAGGAGTGAGGAGGATACGAGGGAGCAGGAAGTTTGAGTTGGGGAAGAATAGAGGAGAGCAAGATAAGAGATTCCATAATATAGGGAGCCATTATAGGTTTAAAGAGAAATCAGGCATTAGGGAAATGTTTGTCTGTAGATCTACAATGAGGACACCAACTAACAACCTAAGCAACAGAGGAGAGGCTACCGTAAATGCCCTCCCTTGATAATGAGATTGATGACTGACTTATATGCCATCCTATAGCCTTCATCCAGTAGCTGGCGGAGGTGAAAGAAGACACACAGCTAAACACTGAACTAAACTGGAATCCAGTTGCAGAGAGGGAGGAGTGATGAACAGAGGGGTGAAGATCAGGCTGGTGGAACCCACAGAAACAGCTGACCTGAACAAGGGGGAACTCTTTGTCCCCAGACTGATAGCTGAAACCAGCATGGGCCTGATCCAGACGGCATGAATGTGGGTATCAGTGAGGGGACCTCAGAAATCTATGGGGCCTTTTGTAGTAGATCAGTACTTATCCCTGGCATAGGAATAGACTTTGGGAGCCCATTCTATATAGAGGGATACTCCCTGAGACTAGACACAAGGGGGTGGACCTAGGCCCTATCCCAAAGGATATGACAGACTCTGAAGACCCCCTATGGAAGGGTTCATCCTCCCTGGGGATCAGAAAGGGTATGGGATAGGTAGATTGTTAGTTGGGGGGGCAGGGTAGGAGGGGAGGCAGAGGGAACTGGGATTGACATGTAAAATAATATTGTTTCTAATTTAAATAAAAAATGGTGAGAAAAAAGATAGTGAGTGATGAGCTGTAATTTTATTATTGTTGATGTTCTTGTGCCTTGGTTATTAACCTTGGCAAACTCTTGAAGTGTATTTTTATCTGTGCTTTCTCAAGAATCCCCAAAGATCTTAATTATCATAGATTGTAGAAACGTTATGATTAGACTGGAGCTTTAAATGAAATGCAATACTTTGGAAGATCATACATATTAGAAGGATCTGTAGGGAGTTCAAGGCAAGTTTGTCTGTTCTCCAGGATGAACATGGAGAATGTAGGTAGTTGAGGGACCTGTTTTCTTTCTCCATGGTTTTCCATCTCAACCATAGGAGGCAACGAAGGACACATTCCTCTGAGAAATTCAAGTGCTTTAAGGAAAAGGATGAGGAAATGGACACAAATGACCATATTGTTAGTTACAATTACACATGGGGCTGCTTTTCAGAGAGAATTGCTGTTAGAAGCACAGGGAGAGAGCATGAGCCTGACTGTTGGCTATTAATAGTGGATGGGGGGGGCATCATTTTCTTCAGTGGTGTAGCCACTGATGAGCTGTTCTTGCACCAGTTCATGTCCCACCCATGCTTGGGTAAGGAACTACAGTCAAGCTTAGTGGGTCACACACAAATAGAGGACACGGAAATAAGAGGGTTCTTCTTGAGAAGAAGGGTTCCCGAGGGGACAGAGGGGGATGAGAGAGAATGAAGTGTGAGTGAAAATGACTTAAATCATTATATAAATGTATGAAACCATCACACAATAAAAATATTGATAAAAGAAAGGTTGTGGAACTCTTGTTTCTCAGGCTTGGTTTAAAATAGCCAGTGTTGGATCAAAGGATGCTGTGGTCTCTAAGGGGAACACTTGCAAGGCATTGGAAGTAAAAGTGTGATTTAGAAGGAAAAGAGAAATTAGGAATTTGTACTTATTCTCATGATGGCACTCCTTATGTGACAAACGCTGGGGTGGGGAGACTGCAGTTCTTCTGTATGGATGTCACAATGGACACCTCACACCAAATAGCTGCATTTAGGCTTTCATTAATTTTCTTTTTTTGTGTGTGGTGCCAGGAATGAAACTAGGCTTCACACATTCCAGGCAGGTACTTTATCATTGAGCTACATTTCAACTCAATGCTGTGCTTGAAGGAAAACTAGAGTAGGCTGGATGAAGACCATTTAAGAAAGAATTGGAACCACATGCAGAGGAGCTGTTACGGAAACTTAGTAGTGCTGAGTGTGGCCAAGGGCAGGGTGAGGCCAGGAGGACCTCAGCTGTCTGAAGACAAAACTTGCTCAGGATGGGATCAAGGGTAGGGTGAAGCCAGAAGGACCTCAGATGTCAGAAGTTAAGACTGGCTCAGGATGGGGTCAAGGAAAAGCAGTCTAGCAAGGGAAGGGGAGAGAGATTTCTTATTCTAGATCAAGAGGATTGTTATGAGAGCTTCAGCCCTGGAGATAATCTGTCTCAGGGCTTCCTTGTGAGGTGGCTAACTTTATATTCCCCTTGAATTCATAGAATAAGAATCTGTGGTTAAAAGCAATGAAAGCCTATCTCAGAGGCGTGTGTGTGTGTGTGTGTGTGTGTGTGTGTGTGTGTGTGTGTGTGTGTGTGTGTGTGTGTGTGTCTGCCCCTCTGTCTTGAGGGTGTGTGCACATATGTACACATGCATTTGCAGACCAGAAACTGATGTCAGTGTCTTTCTCGACCACTTTTCACCTTATTTTTGAGATTGTCTCCCCTGGAATCTGGAGCCCTTTGATTCAGCTAGTTTGACTGGCTAATGAACTACAGAGGTCTGACAGTCATAATCTCTCCCTCTCCTCAAGATTATAGATAACTGTGGTACCCAGCTTTGACCTGGGTGCTGGGGATGGAACTCATGTCCTCATACTTGCCTGGCAAGTACTTTACCTACTGAACCATCTCTATTCACAAATGTACAAGCAAGCAAGCAAGCAAACAAACAAACAAACAAAAGCTTCCGATCTTAGTTGTGGGTTTACTTAGCTCTACCGCTCTTTCTCCGAATGCTCAAATGAATTCCTGGGCATTCTGTTTGGGGACACTGATCTGTGAAGATACTGGGCTCTCCAATAGTTTCCTTTTCATATTCCAAGTCCCCAGAATTTTCATCTGAGAGGAAGTTATACCTTCTCTCTTGCAAACTGCACCCAGGGGATGGTGGGAGACAGATGCAAGTGTATGGGGCTTCCCAGTTAGATCTCTGCACAACATCCTAATTAGTTCCTGGAAACACTTCCACTGTCAGCACATCTGTGTGAGTTTGTGCTGTAAGCACACACTGTCATGGATACCCGAGAGGCTCCAGAGACACTATTTAATGTCTCATTTGATGTTCATTAGACCACAGGAGACAACATGTCTTCAATTTCGTATGATGTTTACCTGTGTGAAAACCAGAAAACAGATTATGCCAAGAACCAGGAAACTACTAAGTGGTTTTATTTTCCTCTGTGCTTGGATCCCCTACCCTCCACCTTGTTACTATTAGCTTTGCTGGAACAGTGCAATGGAATCCCACAAATTGCATCCACTAAATCTTTTCACAGCTGAATTATGCAGAGACAAGACTTGGTCAGCTGGAAAATTGCCATTGTGAGAAGACCTGCCAAGTGAGTGGGCTGCTCTACAGGGACCAAGACTCCTGGGTGGATGGTGACAACTGCAGGAACTGCACATGCAAAGTAAGGCCCTGGCTAAAGTTTCAAGATACAGGCTCACCCACTGGAGTACAGCTAAGCTACTTTGCACATAATGCTACTTCCATTATACTCACTTCTCTTTAATAACCCCAACAATTTCCAAATACTTAGAAATTAAAGTCCGCTTCTTCATTATATACTTCGTGATTTAATTTTATGCTTAAGCCTCTTACTTTTTGGAGTTTGAGAGTTGAGTGTGGAGGGAGACAGAGGTTCCTTTGATTTCCAGACCTAATGAAACTTGGTTCTCTTCTCCTAGAGCACACATTTTAAGATTTAATTTTACTATTTTTAATCTTGAGTACTCACCCGTGTCTCGGTGTGAGTGTGTGCATATGAGTGTAGGTATCCACCGGAACCAGAAATTTTGGGTTTCCCTTGAGCTGGAGTTACAGATGTTTGGGAGTGGCCCAACCTGGGAACTGAACTCAGATCCTCTGAAAGGGCAGTGTGCACTCTAGAGTGCTGAGCCACCTCTCCAGCCCACAACATACACTTTTAATAGTTTAGTCGTCTCTCAATGTTTGTTTTATATTTTTGTAAGAGGTCTGCATCTGTTCCCAAGAACTGCAGACATGCCCCCCTCCATGCTTTACAGAGTAGTCACCATCTGCAGACACCTTCAGTTTCAGAAAAGAGCCCACTCCTAAATTAGTATGTAAACCCTGTCCAGTTGAAAATTACTCGATAAATATCTGAAGAATGCTATTGTTTGTCCAGGAAAATTCAAAATGGATTGTTAGAGCCTTAAAAGTGATTGACAGGGTCTACTAAAGGTGTTATTTGTGTCTCATAGAAATAGACTTTTTGTTTTCAGCCTAATCTACTTAGTCCACATGGGCAGGTGGATAAAGCCAGCAATGTTTATCAGAAAAGTAATTGAGGTGACCCAGGTTCATTTGGATGGGAGAGAATACTTTATTTGTGGTTGTGGAGGGGAATGGGGATTCCCCACACTACCCTGGCTTGCTGAGGCTCTGGAGATGAGAGGGGAAGCTCCTCTGAAACAGACTTGTTCAGAGGATACCTCAGAGACTTCTTTGTCTGTCTTTCCCTTCTCAGAGTGGTGCTGTGGAGTGCCGAAAGATGTCCTGTCCACCTCTCAATTGTTCCCCAGACTCGCTTCCTGTGCACATTTCCGGCCAGTGCTGTAAAGTTTGTAGACGTAAGTATTTGCCTAGGCTCAGGGTAGGTCTCTGAGCTTTTAGAGTTATTCATTTTCTTCTATTTTCAGAACCCAGCTAATATTTAGGAATTGAAACAGTGCCAGTTGATCTGACACTGGATTAAAGGGCCATGCATTTCAACTCCTTCCATTGAAGCAGACATTGTGTACCTGCGCCTCCTCTTCAGAAACACCAACCCATCCCTCTTAGTTACTGTCCTCCATTCTTTACATCTGAAGTGACCAAGGTGCTTCTTCAGGCTCAAACACCAGGCCAAACTTGAAGACTGAAAGTACAATCTGAATTTACAAACCCCCAAGTGAATGTGGTTCGATCTTCATTTTGAATGATCAAGTTAAGGCCCAAATTCTATATTCAGTTTTTCTGAGGCTTCGGACATATATTTCACTATTAGGGTAACTTTATTAGAAATTTCAGTGTGAAATTAATTTCAAACACTGAAGTATTTTTCTTCAGTGTTGGCTAATCCAAGTAATAATGATTAAAAATAATTCTTCAGGCTAGAGAGATAGCTCAGTAATTAAGTGGTTAAGCACTTGGTGCTCTTGCAGAGGACCCAGATTTAATTTCCAGCACCCACGTGGCATCTTACAACCATTTGTAGCTCCAGTTCCAAGGGACCTGGCACCTTCTTCTGCTCTCTATAGGCCCCAGTACTAATATGGTACACACACACACACACACACACACACACACACACACACAC